AATGTACATAATGTACATTGTGGAAAATAATGTGTTTTTTGAACCTTAAACTGAATTAAACATTGCATTACACCAAATACACCAAATAATGTTCTTTTTAGCAACATCATATGACCCCTTTAAGTTAATCCAACCACTATAGCGCAGAACCTGTTTGAGCTGATAAGAAACCTACACATTCACAGAAATACACCTTGAGGAGAATGCCACAAGTATATAGACAACAAACCACCCACTATTCTATTTTTTTATACATGTTAATGTTTTGTACATATTCACATTTTATAGCTGTTCTGCTAAGTTCCTCCAGACTTAGCTACTGAACTGACTGACCCCATTGATTCACAAGTGTTTTCCAAAACTCCGTCCTGCAGAGACATGTTAGCAAATTCATATGTGCGCAAGACAGAGACCAACAGCACGTTTATCAGCATGACAATTGCTTTTATACAACAATTCAATAAACAATAAGTTTTATTGAGTATTGAATATTGAATAACTTACATTTTAGAGTCAAAATTCCTATTTATTCTATTTTTGTTCCTCAAATGAAAATAGTTTCAAATGAATCTTCGAGTAATGAGTGAATCATTATGTTTGAACAAACCAGTTGAGTAAATGATTCAATGAATCAATCATTAAGATGTTCGCTTGTTGCCACCTACTGGTGTAATGATATAACTTGCAGAAAGAGTCTGAAAAATCCCTACCACTTATCTGGTCTGTCTGAAACGCTCAAGACGAGTGGAATGATGCAAACATTGAAAAGTCCCAGTGGACTTTTCCTTGGACTGTATACCAAATTTGACACTAGGTCAGGATTTAACTGTTGCAACTGACTATAATATGTGAAATTGACTGGTTAGCATGGCTTTCTTAACCCCTTGCTGGTAGATTTGGTAATTACATACTCTTCTTCTTTACAGCATCCTTTTTTACTTGACACCCACGCAAATGTAGCAATTTACATTGATGCTAATATTTGATTATATTACACATTTTATACTAGTGCCCAATACTTTTTGGAGTGCTCTTAAAGGCGTGAAAAAAAGTTTTTTTCCCTTTCTGCTGCCATTTAAGTTACAGTAGCTTGTCACTCACTGCCGAAGGGTTTGATACTGTGTGTGTTCTTGTCGTGCCATCAGCCAGTCAAGCGTCCTCCAAAAGCCTAGCTTTCTCCAGATATTATAGGCTTCCTTGATATAATCACAGTAAAAATCTTAGCTCATTGCAAACTGTGCAGTCACGTCTCCGCATATATCCTTCTAGTATTATTTCTACACTACAGAGGAATTTTAAAAAAGGACTGTATTTTCTGTTTTTAGAAAACTCCATCATAAAGGGATATTGTTGGTCCAAGGTCTCATTGATTCTGTTAAACTGATTTTGGTGTTGTACTGTGTGGTATCCGTCATAGTCAACAGATTTTGAATTTTAACAGCGACTGATTATGAAACTTGAAATATGACACTAGGTGAAACATACACAATTAGTTATCTAATTTTATATTGTGTATATACATAGTATATACTTTAGTTCTACAATGTATATTTTCTCATATTAATACATAATCTTACGAAACTTAAATTATAACAAGATATTATATTATCCTACTACTTGTTTCACTTCTGTTTCAGTTTTTATAACCATTTCTTATGTGTAAGTTGTTGTTTTTAAGCATGTGTGTTTGGCAGTGTTTTTTTTTAGGATTACTGATAAACTACTGTCGTTTGATTTGTATTATTTGTATTTGTTTATTTATTTTAATTTTAGTTAAATTATGTCTGAATTTATTATGTCTGTATAGGTCTT